TGTGTGTGTGTGTGTGTGCATGTGCTCCGATAGGTGTTATGTCTTCACACGCTAGCCAAAGTGGAGGTGATAACCATTTGTCTATTTTTGCAGTCACACACACACACACTGATTACTCAAACAGTGCTCCTACTCTGCTCACTCACTCACTCACTCACGGCGGTTTGATTTTCGTTAAATGGCTCATCTCTATCCATCCATCCATCCATTCACTCACTCTCTCCTCCCCCCCACAATCCTAACCACAAACACTCCTGACCTCTGATCGATCGAGTAACACGCACGAACCACAGTAAACTGACTGGAGAATCAATCAATAGGAACAGTTAATTTCATCTTCGAGTCAATTACCTGATAGCATTTCAAATGAATTACCTCAAATCTGTAGTTGGCTTTCGGAATTGGTATTCCTGAAACTATCACATGCAATGGGACCAGATTGAATTTTGGTGTGTTTTGACTTGAGTGATAAGTCCGTGCTATTTTATTTTATTTTGATTACCGAGCACTGNTATTGTATTTCTATTGAGCACGGGTTCCATTTATCCGGATATTCATACATTTTAGTTGTGCTGTACTATTGGGGGCTTTTATCGCCACTAACCATAGATTTAGGTGGCTGGAATAGCTGATAGTATGAGCATGTAGTAACTGTGATTAGAAATAAGATACACCACGGTGAGGTGTATCCTAAGCAACGTGATAAATTTGACACTATCATACACAAAGCTGATATTCTTATGCGCAAATTTATGGCTACCTGATCGCTAGATCACCGACCAACTCAGTTCCGAAATTCCATCAATGTGGCCATGAAGTCTCCACTTTGTTCTATGTTCGCCGCCTGTATCCAGTTCCTATTCCATGTGTCCGCGTGTTTTCATCTATCTATGTGTGTACCAATAAACCCACAAACCAGTAAGTAGATCAATGAGCGTGGGAACATCCAAGTCAGCTGGTCCTGTCCGATTCCAATGGTCGAACTTACGGTCTCAGACTCGTCTCCCGCCACCCCGGTGTCTGTTAGGTAGAACCATGGCCACATTGGTTGACATCAGTTGTCAAACTGATTCCTCACACCGTCATACGTAACCAATCCTCCCACTCCCAACCCTTGATTTTTCACGTTCTCACAAACATGACCTTTTCAGCACGCACGCAGGAAACGTCAGAGGATCGGCCCGGAGTGGAACCATCCCCGTATGACGTCTCATCGCAGGTAGGTAAAATACAGTTCTCTGTTAATGTGAATATACCTGTCACCAAGTGCTATTGTTTGGATTTTATCACGAATTTTAGCCAACACAACGATGTGGGTTCCGTAGGAATACCTGAATTGGAAAGAAGAAACAAAGTCAGCTGAGAAACTGCTCTACTTTGTTTCTGGCTATAAAAATATAGATCTATGTGTATTTGCAAATTTCATGGATAGAAAAAGGAGACAACTTCGTTTAACTTTCTCAATCGCTTACTTAGAACGGGCAAGCATATATATAATAAGTAGTATGTGAATGACTGGACAAAATTTCCCTGGAAGGACACGACCGGTTTCGCGGTTCTTGCTGCTCGTCAGGCATGCGTATCAGGTAATCTTTTGTCATATATATATATATATATATATGCAGCACATGGGGTTGTTCATTTATTGTGAATGAACGTGTACAAGCATAGAAAGAACAGTAAACATAGAAGTAGGGGGTCAACTCCACGGCAAGACACACAGTCGATTCGTCTTTCAAACCGCTTTTACGTAGTCGCAATGCTAAACTCTTGGTAATTAGTGAAGCGCTGCTTGTTCGGTTACATCACCCGATCTTATGCGCACAGAAGTTTTTGATACAGGCGATCCACTTACAGTGGAGTTGACCTTCTACTTCTGTGTTTACTGATCTTTCAATGTTTCTACCCGTTCATTTACCGTAACTGAGTAACCCATGCGCTGTATATATGCTTGTTTGTTTTAAGTAAGCGAATAAGAAGATTAAACGAAATATTAACATCTCGCGACATTTTTCTTCTTTCTATATTGCTGAAATAGATAACGGCCATTCACTGCTTCATATTTGCAAATTGGCAGAGTGATACGCCACTTGGTGGTGGTGCGGTGGTTCAGTCGCTGTCAACGTGACCTTTGAACCCTGTGATTCGAGGTTCGAGCCCCGCCACTGCCACCCTGCTTTGGTGGTTAGGCCACTTTGTTGTCGTCCGGTTCTGTACCACGCCTGACCTAGCGGGACCTTATGTGACTGACCACTCCGAAACACAGGGGCTTAGGTTATCAGTTGTCATCACTAAACAGCAGGTCCTCTGCAATTCGGAGTCCGCCCCCTCTGCTGGTCGTCCTACACTGGTGTGTAATAAACAACTCGGATCTATCCATGTTGGCGTAGTTGATATCGGCTTTCACGAGCCTCCTTCTCGGACTACACGAAGAGGGATCGTAGATCCAATTGATTTAGATTTCGCCTGTGGTCAGGATATGACACTTCATGGATTTTTATCACCCACGTGAAAACGCATTGTGAATGGTTGCAAAAACTGAAACCGAAGATATCGAACCCATCCACTATGAGACTTGACAGAATGAGTTGTGAGCGTAACGCGTTTGTAACTAGCTACATTGCTCCTGTCCTCAACCAAGCCCGATGGTGTTCACACCAAAGCTATCTGATAGGCCGTTGGTCCTGCATCCAATACACCCGGTCACACAGTAACAGATGGATACGTATCGACAAAAGAGAGCTGCAGAATATCGCAGTCTATCCCTCAGTTAGGAACAATCAGTTCAGATGTGAATACAGCTTTCACTCATCATTCAACGTCGCTTGGCATTCTCTGCTTAATGCACCTGAGCGCCGCTTTCTTCGAATGATTTCTGCTTTCATATCTTCCTTGAACGGCAGACTCTCATACATTGAATTTCTAACGGCTTTTTATTTTATTTTGTGAATCGCCGTATCCTGGTTTTACTTTATCAGTATATTGCGCTTGGTAGCCTCTTTGTTCAAAACCAGTCCATAATAAATAAAGTTCACTGTTCATGATATCCGCTGTGCATGTTTTCTTCACCCAGGCTTATTGTACTTTGCTTAGCTAAGACGAGATAAAAAACGATCGCAGATGAAATAATTTTGACATTGCTCGGTGAAACTTTCGGCTATAAACAACCATTTCTGATGTGTGTTTATTTCTTCCGTTCGCAGCTTGCAAATGTCCAGAGTTGCCTTGCCCACCTGACAAATCGCATAAGTCAATCCGTCGAGGGTAAGAGTTTCACTACTTAAATATTTTATAGTAGTTAGATTGTGAATGAAAAATAAACATCCAAATGCTTTGACGCAATTTTGGTCTGACTGCCCACCGGAAGTCTGAGATCGTGCAAACTAACTAGCATCACACAGTGAGGTCTGTGATAAGTCTTTTTATTGGATTTAATGAAAATATAGATAATTAATTACCATGTGATTTTTATGATGAACATTGAAGTTCGCCAAATTTTAGGTCTTGAACTATGGTCGTTGCTGCATAATGAGCCCATAAATCTCTTATGGACATTTGTAATTTTTCCACACTTTTCCTGTGTTTATGGAATTAGCCAAAGCAAATCTATAATATTCAAAACTTACATTATGCAACACAGTGATAACCGAAACCTTACTTATTATTTATTTTAAATATATTATTGCACTTTAAATGTTAATTACTGTTGACCTGATCATTCGCAGAGTACTAGACCGCTAGTTCAGTGCTAGACACGATAAAAACCGAAATTAGACAAAATGATTGGGAAAAGTGCAGGAGAGGCGAGGACTAATGCATTGCATTTTTGTGGAGGAACATCACACTTAGATCCTATTGTTAGTGAAATGAAATGGACAACAGAAGAAAAAAGTACACATGAACTGGTCGTGCACTCGGTCTGTTGTTATTCGCGGTAAGGGTTTCGACATCCAAAACAAAGTTTCACGGTTCGGGTCCGACCAGAGTGACACACATCCAATACACAGACATTGAATCTCAGATAGTATGAAACAGTACTCTCTGTTCGCCGTTACACGCGATATTCTGTAGCGGTCTTCCACGAAAATGGCTGTGTGAAAACTGAATAATTTTCAATCATTGATCAAGAATAGATAAATTATGGCTATTCTCTACAGTTTGCAATTTTGCTTGTATGGATTTCCGTTGAGATGGTCCGTGTTCACATGCATCCCTATGTTGCACACTGTACGGCTGTTAGCAACCGCTGGAAGAGAATGAGATTGGTGTACAACCTCCTATCCCCCTCGGGATAAGTCCGTATGCACAGTGATCAGCAAGGGAATGTTTCCTCTTTGGCTCAAATTTAAAAAACAAATCGCAACAAAAAATTCAACCCTAAAAACGTTACACAGTTGACTCCATCATAACTCATCCCAGTTTGTGTACGCCGCTATTTCATTCCCGCTCATCCTGTTTTCTGGCTACCCCACCCTAATCCCTTTTGGATGCATTCATCATGGATCGGATGAGCCCAGCTCTGCAACCGTCATCATCATCATCATCACCATCATCGTTGACCCATGTCAACCGTCCGGGAATAACCGAGCTATCGGACGGCTTTTTCAAACCTCAACTCTGTCAAAAACAAGCCGAGGAGGAGAATTCGCTTTTGTTGTTATCCTCGTCAGCTTCGTCAACATCATCCTCGTCGGTGATACGCAATATGTTGAAAACCAATCGACCAAATATCGGCTCCCATCCAACAACTTCCGCAACTCGAAAACTGGCGGCATCCGGTCAGTCCACACCGAATCCAGTTTCCCGCTCACCGAGTCGGAAAACAGTCACACCGAGGTAAGAAACGTGTCGTCCGTTTTTGGACGGTGCCCCATTTCGAGTTGATCATGTTTTCTCCCCCGGATCACAAGCACACAGTTCTTCACTCACCACCCAGCTTCCCGCAAAATCAACTTACTCGACTGGTTATCTTGGAGACCATATTTATGACTGTACATAGACGTGGTCACGCCATGTTCAATACGCGTGTCCGCAGATCTGTCTGTGCAGAATTACTACGAAGTTCCGGCCGGTGTAATCAGTCCGTGCTACCCCGAATGATGCGAAAACAAATAGTCCATTTAAGTTTTGCTTTTTGACTCCGAGAGAAACAGATTGAGTTCTTTGACTGGTGACCTAGTTACCCAGCATCCACCCTCAACCTCCCCTGGCTCCCGCACATACACACGCATACCAGTCTCTGCATTCTACATACACACACACACACACACACATCATTTTAACAGTCCTATTGGCATTTAAGTGAGAGTAATCAATGTAAAACAATCCTCGGAACTCCACAAAAAAAAATAAATGAGCGTTAGATCTGCAATCTGACCCGGGGAACGGGGTGGCGGGGGGGGGGGGG